CACATGGTGACGTCAATCGCAACAAAGAATGGAATCGATAGCAGCACGTGCCGCTTATGTTTTATTTTTGCCTGGAAATGAGAATATTCCTCAGGAAAACACTCACATTCACACGCGCACACACACACACGCGCACACACACACACACACACACACACACACACACACACACACACGCGCGCGCGCCGCAAACGACTGCAACCGACCAACGCAGCACGCACGCACTGCACACACACACACGCACCGCCACACACACTCTCACCCCTCTTTCCTCATACCTTTCCTCCCTTCCTCTCTCCCCTCTCTCTCTCTTCTCGCCCTCTCTCTATCTCTCTCGCGCTCTCTCTGCTCTATCTCTCTCTCTCACCTTCCCTCTCTCGCTATTTCTATGACCGTCTCCCCTTCTCTCTATGACTGCCCCATCTTCCTCTCTCTCTTTCCCTCACTTCTCCGTTCCTCATTCCGCTCTCTGACTGTCTTATTCTCTTCTTATTCTCTCTCTGGCTCTCTCTCTCTAACTCGCTCTCTTACATCTACCCCTATGTCAGCCCGCCCCCCCCCCCTCCATATAATCCCACGACGTACACGGCCTTTGAGCCGACGAGCAGCAGCAGCGACATGGGAGCAACGTCGTCGCGGCAGAGTAATTCATATTTTATTGCGGGTCGAGTGGAATCTCTACCACAGCGAAGGATTTACCGTACGTCAGTGAAAACGCTTGCCACGCCCCCTGGCCTCGTCAGAAAAGGCAGCAGCTTGCATGGCAGACTGCTTGCAAACAGCGATCCTGCGGCGTGGGAGGAAGGTTGGTGGCTTCATGACCGATTACGATTGGCTAAAATGTGCAGGCGAGCGCAGCCGACTGTTTGTATACACTATATATCTACGCTGTTAGGATCAGTGAGAATGCAGAGCACGCGTTTCGAAACAGATGTAGGTGGTACATAGTAGGTGGGGATTTCTGCGCGTAAGTCGGCAGATTGAGTTCGTATCGTACTCCGGTCGTGCTGGGCATCGCTTGCTCGCTGTACGATCGAATATATTAGACCACAGCACGACCGTACATCACCGACGTAACATACACACACCACGCACACACATCATGCCGCACGCGCGCACCACACTCCACGCGCACTCACGCCACCACTCCACATGCACGAACACACACGCACGCACACACACAACATACACGCATGCGCACGCACGCGTACACGCGTGGCACGCACGCATGCACGCACACAACATTTTATCGATCATGTTAGCCGCAGCGGTATCCTCCATTTGGCATTCGCGAACTAATCGATTATTATAAATTTATTAATAGCGATCGCTGCAACTTGTTATACCGCTTTGGACATGTCCGCCGCAGTGTCAACGTTACATACATGCGATAATAAGACACTCACACACTCAGACGGCGCATCAATGAGATGTCGTTAGCAACCGGCGTGTTAGCACGAAACAGGAGTTATATTCAAGCTAATAGTGAATACCCTATCTCTTCTTCACACACAATCAAGCTCTCTCTCTTTCTCTCTCTCTCTCTCTCTCTCCACACACACACACACACACACACACACACACACACACACACACAGCGCCCACACACACGCACCACACACACACACACACATACAGCACACCACACACACAGTACGCACACACAACACACACACACACCACACGCACACAGCACACAACACCACACACGACAACACACACACACCCGCACGACACACACACACACACACACAGCCCAACACACACACACACACACACACGCGCGCGCGGGCCGCAGCACACGCACACACAGACACACACACACACACACACACACACACACACACACACACACGCGCGCGCGCCGCGGCACACTCGCGCCTCACGCGCCTTTTCCTGCTGCTCCTCTCTCTCTCTCTCCTCTCTCTCTCTCTCTCTCTCTCTCTCTCGCGTTTTCTCTCCACCATCTCTCTCTCTCTTTCTCTGCGCGCGCCTCCGCCTTGGCCGTGCATGTTGACATCATAGACTGTCACAGCTCTGCCGGCGCAACCTCAGCGATTTCTGCACCGGTCGCCTCTCGCTAACTCGAACGCAAGCAGGGGATCCAGTCTAAACCCGTACGATGCCGAGTCTGCTGCTGCTGCGTGAGTAGATTTCCATCCCTGGCGCTGCTCGCTCGATCGTGCGCGCGCGCTGAGGCTTGCGTGCTCCTCTACTGCCGCATCCGCGCTCATCGTCTCCGCGAGGGCAGGAATGCTGCACTGTCATCGGCCGCGCATTGGCGCTCGGAGCCCGTATAGTTATGTTGCCGTCGTCACGGTTGATGTGGGCCGCGGCTCAAACAGCCGCCGTGCGCGAGCTAGATCCGGCATCGTCTGCAGCGGGTAGCACTAGTGTGTGTGATGCAGCAGCGCAGTGGACGCACCCCGACAATGCTAAGTCTTGTGCCCTGGGAAGTTAAAGAATGTTCAAGGCGAAAGGAGGTAGGAGCAGATCGGTACAGGTACCAGTGACGTATGATTCCCCTACTTTTTTATCTCTCCGATCGGCTTTATTTTTATCGAGGCGCGCTTTGGGGTTAACGGTGCTGCATGCGTTATGGTTAGTTTCATCTTGTTTTAGTTTTGTTCGCGTGTAGACGTATCGTTATATGCATTGGTATATAAATAGTTTCCGTGTAAGGACTAGAAGGGTTGAATGGTTATTCTGTTTGCCTGTGTTATGGGGTGCTTAAGTTTGCCTATGTTTGCCTATGTTTGATTATCTTAGCTTAAGGGTTGACTTTATGGCTTGTGAGCTTTTGTTTTTGGTTTGAGTTTCGTATATCATACGAGCGTAGGCGTAGTCAAATGAAGCTTGTGCGTGTAGTTAAGGGCGGATCTTTGTGCGTAGGTAATGAGGAGAGACCGTATACACACACACGCGGCGCCCAGGCAT